GTAGTGCGGGAACCTTGTGTTGCAGGTCTCTCCCTATGTCCAGATGGTGTACTATCGCTCCAAAGTAATCGGCTCTCCTACTCAGAGCGTCCGCAACTACATTGCACGTTCCTTTGATAGGCTTGAGCTCAAAGTCAAACTGGTCTATCTCTGCGGCCCACCTAGTGAGCTTAGGTGTCATCTTGACCTGCGTCTTCAACCACCTCAATGTCTCGTGGTTTGAATCCCTACACTTATAGAAATCGCTATTCGGCGCGCAGCGGTTGGCCGATCCGGGCCGCCCGAGGCCTACCGGTCGACGGCCTGGATTTCCGCGCGATCTTAAAACTTTAAGACTTTAAGACTTTAGATCGCGCGGCGATCCAGGCCATTCGCGGTTGCACCTGCCCGACGGCCCGGATCGCCCCGCGATCTTAAAGTTTTAAGATCGCGGGCGAATCTGGGCTGTCAGGCCGTTTACGGCCCGGATTGCCGCGGTGCCTTGGGGAAATCGGTTCGAAAGGACCATTGGCGGGCGGGCGGGAAAAGTACAGCCTTACACGACGCGACCTACCTACGCGACGCGGCCTACCTACGCAACCTACGCGACCTACCTACGCAACCTACGCTACGATACACGACCTACCTACGCGACGCGGCCTACCTATGCAACCTACACTATGCTACGTGACCTACCTACGCGACGCGGCCAACCTACGCAACCTACGCTACGCGACCTACACGATGCGACCTACGCTACACAACGAGACCTACGCTATGCGTCCTCTCTCTCTCTCTCTCTCGGACTGTGCTCTTTGGTGCTCGATGCTCATCGTGGATCCGTGCTTCTCTCTCTCTCTCTCGCGCGCGCGCGGATTGTGCTCTTCGGTGCTCGGTGATCATCGTGGAACCGTGCTTTTCGTCACGTGTTGATCGTGGAACCGTGCTTTTCATCACGTGCTGATCGTGGAACCGTGCTTTGGTGTCACGTGCCGATCGTGGATCCGTGCTTTGGTGCATGATCACGTGCTGATTGTGGATCCGTGCTTTTCTTTGGTGCATGATCACGTGCTCATCGTCGATCCGTGCTTTTGGTGCTCGGGGCTCATGGTGGATACGTGCTTTTCGTGCTCATCGTGGATCCTTGCTTTTCTTTGGTGCATGATCACGTGCTCATCATCGATCCGTGCTTTTCGTGCTCATCGTGGATCCGTGCTTTTCTTTGGTGCATG